TAATTCTATCAATTTTTCAGAAAATTGTCGACAAGTACATATGAACCCCACAGTTCAGGACTTCTTCCTCGAGAAACATGTTTTTAAGATGATGGAGATTGAGACAGTTAGTGCGTGTGAAGTTAACTGTCTCATAGAAGCTGACTGTATTTCATACAATCTAAAACCACAACGGAATGGAAATTATTTATGTGAACTAAGTGATTCAGACTATGAAACCAATCCTAACGATTTTAGGTACAAAGAAGGGTCCGTTTACAAATCATTTAAGGTGAGTTGACTTATCTTCGCTTTTAATTCCATAACATTTTTTGTCAATAGAATGATCATATATCTGAAAGTCATGAAAAGAGTTAAAAAACAAACAAACGAAAAATATGAAATTAGTTACTTTTCACATTGTCTGGTAAAGAGATGCACACTTTCAAATTTTCTTTCCTGAAGATGGATACGAGGATGCATAGGATGCATGAATGGATGAATGTTTGTATGCATGCATGCTTACATGCACTGATAAATTAATGGATGGGTGGATCGGTATAACTGGATTTGGATCGGTATAACTGGATTGTTAGAAGCGGGGAATGAGCTCGGTACTAGATCAATAGATTCTATAAAGATATCTATTTCGTTACAGAATCGCTGTTCCAGTGCCCTTTGTCCATCAAGCAAGCGATGCCAAACTGGCTTCACAAGTAAAGGCTATCGTTGTGTTTGTGCAAATGGACTTATGGGAGAAAAATGCTCTGAAGGTATGTTGAATTGCATTGTTTGCTTGTATGTATGTTTGAGAGTACATTAAAAGCTAAGCTTAATTCTGGGGCACATTGGTGTTATCATTAACAGCAACCGTGCTTCTCTTTTTGAAAATTCGTTAGTGTTGGAGGTCGTTCGAATGCAAGTTAATGAGAAGTGTTTGAAGTATCAGAAGGAAAATGGGGTACGGGCGGGGGGATGGGGGACAGCTATATTATATAATTGTTTTGGAGGTCTTAAACTGCTTGGATGATCAGGTAAATTAACTGGTCTAACGTAACATGGAGCTGACTGCATAATCATCTTATAATTGGGCCGGACGGCGGTTACTCTCAAAACCGAAGAAGGCCTGAAACAAAGCTTAACGTTTTTTGGTGTTTTAGGACCGCCTTTGGTGCAGGTTGTTCCCAAAATAATTGAAACTGTGGAGGGTACGAACGTTACTTTGATGTGTAACGTGACAGCTAATCCTAAGCCAGATAGGATCATATGGAAAAAGTCTGATGGAATTCTTTGTAGCGCTAGGAGCATCATTATAAAAGGAAATCTCACCATATCGAATATCACAACCCAAGATAACGGCTCCTACGTGTGTACTGCAACAAACTCCTGGGGAACCAAATCATCTTCTGCTCATCTTCGTGTCTATTCAGCTCTCAAATTCTGCAAGGAAGGTATGTTGAGTTGATCGATTTTATTTTTGTTTATGTACACCAAATCATTATAAGGGGACATAAAGAGAATTTTTAGTGCGTCGGCCGGGATTTGTCAGTCAAGCTATTTTTCTTGAGTTTCGGATTTAGCGGAAACTGACTTTCGCGCCGCAGTACATAAACGTGTTTTATTGGAACAGTTTTTTTTTTTATTTCACGAAGGTTTGTACAACAGAAAACGGATTCGAAATGTTTGCTTAGTGTGAAAATTTAATCATCCTGTGCATTATCTGTGTAACTGTCACTGGTTTCTAAACCTAATTGTCAATAGCTAGTTTTTCATGTCAATACAGGCATGGGGTGGTCGGCTACGACTATCCATAATAACCTTGCTGAAATTGACCAGAAGTCTCCTTTTTAGTTTCCCTACGCAGATATCACCGTATTTGAAAATATATTTTGAAGTCACGTTTTCTGTGAACATTGTCGTTATCATTAAAATGACTCGTGCAGCTCCCTCTCGACGATTAAGGTTGGAGATTGTTTAATTTAGAGTCAATGTGTAATGTCTCAGATATCAGGAGGAGAACAGAGGGCGGGGGGGGGGAGGGACAGGAGTTGGCTGGGTCATCTACACAACATGAAGTTTTTCTTAAGTTCAGAAATGACCAGAAAAAGGGAATTTCTGTGAAGGACCTCTTTTGGCCTCTTGCTCACGCTAGAATTGCTAATGAGTTTGGCTATTAAATAAAT